TAGTTATTTTCTATTTTATTGGCATATTAGGAAATAAATATAAGGGAGCAGGATGGACATGATATTTGCCATTATTGATTAACATTATTCATTTAGTTATTATCTCATTGGTGATTTTAGGTAAGCAGCAAGAACTCCCAAAATTGATGCCATTCTTAGAAAGTGAGCAGGAAAAGGAGCAACACAATGGAGAAGTACATATTTGACGATACAGTGGTTGTTAGGATTAAGAACTTTTTCAGAAGATATAAATAACCCTAATATTTCACTAACAGAAAGACTGTGGAATGATCTTAAAGAACTGGAAACCCTTCTTTCAACACCGTATATAGCCACAAAAAAGCTACAATCTGAAGAATTAACAGGAGACGAGAATATTAGAAGAGAATATTAGGCAATCCTAATGTTTCACTCACAGAAAGACTGTGGAATGATCTTGCAGAATTGGAAACTCTTCTTTCTATACTGTATATAGCCACCAAAAGGCTACAATCTGAAGAATTGACAGGAGGTGAGAATGGAAGAATGGGATGTTTGTTCTTTCTGAAATGGAGGGTTTATTGCAGCAGGAATCATTTCTTCAATGAAGAAAAGAGAAACTAGTTTGCTAGATAATAAGATCGTGCTGTGTTCCATATGTGTAGAACCAAAACGCCGACTTTCGTTGGATGACAAACAAATTAAAAAGGCAAAGAAAGCCACCTATAAACTTTCATTAAGAATGAAATTATTCTCAGCATAACTGAAGTATTCAAATCAGGACAGTCAAAGTGCAGATATTGCAACTGAGTCTCTATTATCCTCTTCCAGTGATGAATTAGATTTTGAGAAATATTTGGATAATATTAAAAAGGCTAAGGCAAAGCAAATGAAAATAAATAACCAGTAGTAACAGCTCTTCTTCCTACTCAAGTCAGTGAGGAAAGACTCTTCTTAGTTCTGAAATTTATCAAATCAGATCTATGGTCCTCTAACAAAGAAGATCTTGCCAAAGTTTTACCATTTCTTAGAAATTACTAATGCCAGTTTTTCTATTTCATAATAAATGCTAATTAACATAAAAAATTTGCTATGCATCAATTTTTTTCTGTAGCATCTATTACTTCTTTGATATTAAAAAAATAAGCTGTACCTATGAGTATACATTTACATGTATATGAAGGAGTCGAAGTAGGAATCTTTAAAATTCCAGGAGTCTGTCATTTTCCCTACCGACTCCACAGCCCTAATAAACACACTCCCAGTCAATACGAGAGGGTTACTATTACAAAAAATAGCCAAAATCTCAATTTATCACAAAACATTTGGCAATATTCGCAGAAATAACCCTTTCTTAATGACAAAAACTAAAAAAACCCACTATTTTCCCCAAGGCTAGTTGATGAAAGTGCAGAATCACCCACTCCTTGGCGAGTTTTTAAGAATTGCACATACTCGGTATCCATGTACACATCGACCTATTTTCACTTTAAAAAAATATCCCAGAATTGCACAAAAATGGCACTGCACATTCCCTTGACTTTATCTATGTACACATCGACCTAGTTTCAGTTAAAAAGTAAAAGAAAATTGACAAAAATCCAATTCTTCTTATCCTTGTAAAAGGTGCCAAAAGAATAAGTGGGCGATTCTGCACTTTACCTGGCTAGTTTTGCCAACATTATCAATATTAGGGTTACCAATAACCTACTTCCCGCAAGGGGCTTCTAGATTCAGAGTTGCCACTCAAATAGGAGAATGAAATTCCCTGACTTTTCCAGGTATGTTTCGAGAAAATTCCAGTCTATCCGCGTAATGTAATTTGGTTGTGCTAAGAGGTAAATTAATTATGGTATTACTTGCATTGTGTAGCAAATTCACTAATTATTCAATAAATCCCAGAGGACATTTATTCTTAATTATTCTTGGTACAATTCGTTTGATAATTTTGTTTACTTTTCCACTTAAGAAGCTTAATAAAATTTAAGAATATATACATTGGATAACAATTGTATGTTTTATTTAATTATTACTCATGATCATCACCAGTTCAACACGAGGTTAATCCGGTCCTTATAAATCACAACGCAATGCTAAATAGTTAGCTTAGATTTTAGACAAATTTAATTTGTGTGAGGTGTCTTCTTAAAAGGTACCTTAACACTTGAAAACACAAATATAAAATTACAATGCAATGCTAAATAGCTTAGATTTTAGGTAAATTTAATTTGTGTGAGGTGTCTTCTTAAAAGCCACCTTAACACTTAAAAACACAAATATAATTATAATAGGAGTTGTTTTCTCCACTGAAGATTGAGATTAGAATCTGCCCAATCTGGAATAAAATAAGGCTCTTTTGCAATATTCTTGCAGCTAAACGAAAGAAAGAAATCTATTTAATGATAATTTTTTTAAAATAAATTGAGGGTAATTTTATATTTATTTATCGCAGCATATATAAGGAAAAAAGGTAATGTGCATTAAATTTCGTGTTGATGGTATGTCATCATAACTGCTACAATTAGTTTCATTCAGGATTATGTCAGAGAAAATTTTCCTGAAATTTGGAAAGCATTATTTACTAATGATACAACTAAATTTAGAGGGAAGAAGCAACATTAAATGATATGAATTAACATTAAAATAAAGTTAATTACTTAAAAATTGAAATTAGAATAATCAACGATAATTTTTAGCGAAATATAGTTATATTACAATGGTTAGCCTTTGATGGACTTGATTACTATTTTTTATTTTACTTTAAAATAATAAATAAGGTATTTATTAAAACAGGGAAAAGAAAAAAGAATGTTAAAAAGATTTTGCGGTTAAAATCCTAGTATATGGTACGGCCTGCGCACGATTTTGAAAATTGTCGCCAAGAACAAAATGACCCGTTTACTGCTCATCATCATGTCACCAAATCCCGCTGTACTATACATGGAGATTATTCTAACCAAAGAACGTCTATGTAAAGAAGAAAAGGTTCCATACACGTAAATGCTATTATGCCGCTAGAAAGTGGAGGGAAAATTTGGCAAGGGATTTGGCGACGGAACCTGGCGGCCAGAATTTCCCTCTTCGCGATGTGTACAGGAAATTGAGAAACACGTGTTAAGAAGAACCGTTCTTTGACAAAAAAGAAAACTATGAAAATCCGTTTTTAAATTATTGCGAAAAATCCAAGAAGAAATGTTTTATCAAAGAACGTTTTTTCTTGGATTTTTTGCAATAATTTTAAAAATGGATTTTTGTAGTTTCCCCCCCCCACACACACACACCCTCAAAATAACTAATCCATGAATTAACTTACTTGCGCCACAAAATATTTTCTTTTCCTTTAGAGTTTAAAGAAATTTTAAATGATGTTCATTTTATGAACTCTTGATAACGTCACCTTCGAACTTCGACACCAGTTTCGAGCTTTGCCGACAGATATATCGCGCATACACAGCTGTTTCCCTCTATGATGGAACGGAGCCATGTCTGTTGCAGAGAGGTTTTCCTTCTTTACAATACATATTCTTTGATTCTAACCTTCATGGTACTGTATACTAGGATTAAATCCATTTTGTTTTATATGAGAACAGGTACTTTCTTTAGTTCATGAACTGCACATGCGATTCTCAAGGTTACTGGAAACCAAAAGTTGCGGGAAACTTGCTTTGCCTTTCTAAAAGACAATCAAATTGGAGCTGCAAATATTGGCTCTATGCCAGCTGCTCGAATGACACTCATGTGATACACAATTCGCCAAAAAAGTTCTCTCTTCTGATGTCGGCGCAAAACTCGCCTTTTTTGGCGGGATCGTTGTATGAAATTCCCTGACTTTTCCAGATTTTGACTAAAACACTTAAATTCCCTGACTTTTCCCTAAATTTTTTGGTCAATTACCAAATTCCCTGACTTTTCCCGGTTTTTCAGGTAGCATGGCAACCCTGTAGATTTCACACACAACCAATACCACTTGGAAATTTTTTTCAGACAGAAACCAAGGTGTACCGTACAGTAAAGATCAGCCAATACTGTTCCTAAATGCAATAAAGAAATGTAGATATCACCGAATAAGCATGATCAGAAAAGAAATGGATGAACTTTGATATAAGCCACAGCATGAAAACTGATATATACCAATGCCACCATCAAATTATGCTAGACATGTTTCAAAACCAGGCTGATGTAAAAAAGCATCTCTAAAATAGTAGCAAATTAGATAAATTTATACATAAAAAATTACATGTATAATTACTTATTCAGCATAATTATATATCAAAGAATACACATTTACATTCTTTCGATAAAATGACATTTTCCGAATGAAAACTTTCAGACTTTATTTTACTGATGATAAACAAAGAGCAACTAATAAGTATCTAATTATATCAATCTTTAAACAAAATTGTTTAACAAATCTGATCAACCAATTAACTAAATGGTTAATCTTTGGATTATGGTAACTTGGCGATATTTGGGCGAAAATGTGGCGAGCAACCCTGCTAGTTTTGTTTTGGACGCCATTTTGTTTTCACGAAGTAAAGGCATGTTTTTTTTTTTTACTCAACATTTTTTCCAACAATCTACTAGCCGAATTACGCTTATGCTAGAACACTTTTATAGAACAAAAGTGCTTAATCATGACGAAAATTAGGTGCGAAATTGGGAGAAAGTGTAGAATTGCCCACTGCTTGCCGCGTTTTTAAGAATTGCATATACACGGTATCATCCATGTACACGTCGACCTAATTTCACTTAAAAAAACATCCCAGAATTGCACAAAAATGGCATTGCGCACACTCTTGACTTTATCCATGTACACTGCTAAAGTCCTAGCTAGTAACCTTTATCACCTTACCAAAACTACTACCAAACTACCTGTTACATATATTCCAAAGATTAGCCAACTAAATTCCTAAATATTAGAATTGAAAGAGGGTGGGAGAGTTTTGGCAGCAAAAAAATTTCATATTAAGACATCTATTTTTAGATATAAAATATTTATAACATAATACATTTCAACATACCTGAAATGATTTTCCTGATTTTACATTAATTATTTTTCTGTATCTTTTTCTATCAACGGGACAAAACCTTCCTAGCTATAAAAAGAATTAAAAATTATGAAAAGAAAAAGTTTCAAATCTAGATCACAAATTTAACAGTAACTTAAGTATTAGTATCACCACCTCAGAGAGAACTGTAAACTGTTACCAAATATTCTTGCCCTCAACAGGCAGTCATTAAAAAAATTTTCAATGTAACTGATAATTGTCTTTTAACCAGTAATACACTGACACTTCACAGTCAAACGAATTTTTCATTTATTGCGCCAAAATGGACTAATACTAAAGCTGTGCCAAATATTTAAATACATATACCATAATTTTTAGATAATAAAATGTTTCTTCTACAAAAGCTATATACAAAACAAAAGGCATTTTAAAAATTGATACTGCATTTTCTTTTTAATTATAAATAATTCTGAAGCAAAGCATTTTTCCAAATTACTAATTTAAATAAAAATACTATTTTTTGTTTATAAACTAAAGTTGATTTTCTTTTTAAAAAATAATTGTTAGATGATTTTAAAGTTCTTTTTCAGTTATTTCCTTTTTCTAGAATCAAAGACTTCCTTTTCCCATTAATGATAATGAAAGTTAAGAAATGTATTTCCTAACTGACGACATCTTAAGCCCTGTACAAATATGGTACCAATAACTTCATCATTGATTTAATAATCAGCAAAGTTAATACCCTGAAGTTGTGCAATAGGAGAGACCAATGAAAGTGCACTAAGTTAGGCTATAACTATATTTATATATATGGATTTTAATTAAATGGGACCAAAGGCTAAAAAAAAATTTTGTTTAGAAGAAAAATTTGTAATAAAAAATGTAGTTTTCACACATATCAACCTAAATAATATTAAAATAAATGTACTACATAAAATTCAACAAATTTCTCTGATGATTAATGATTTATTTTTTATCATATAAAATTGCTTCATATAAAATTTCTTCACTTTTTATTCTCCATCAAACAGCCACAATGGGTTCTTATTAGTTTATGTTCTTCAAATTTTTTAACTCTTTAATTAAATTGAACCTGTCAAGTTTGCAAGCATCATGTACTTTTCTGTTGGATCTGAGTCTGAGGTACCAGCTTTTTTTAGAATAAATTGTGTATCTCTGTAAGCTCATCGATTGTCAGCTCTTTGCTACATGAGCCCTACATGACATCATCATAATTTATCTCATAAATATAATTTCCCTTGGCAAGACTGACATTTAATATCAGCGTCTTGATCCGTTTTTTGGCATTATTTTCAACTCCTTGTTTAAAAGAGAAATGCATACATTTTTTTGAAGACATCATTCAAAGCTTTAGCGGTGAGCTTTATTTGGAAATTTTATTCACGGATTCTTTGATATTTCCTTGGTTTTTACAGCATCTAGTTAATCTTCAGATTATGGTAACTTGGCGATTTTTTGGCGAAAATTTGGCGACCAACCCTGTTACAGCAACCTGTTAGTTTTTTTTTTTTTTTTTTTGGACGCCATTTTGTTTTCACGAAGTAAAGGCTTTTTTTTTTTTTTTTTTTTTTTAACTCAACATTTTTTCCAACAATCTGCTAGCCGAATCACGCTTATGCTAGAACATTTATGGAACAAAAGTGCTTAATCATGACGAAGATTAGGTGCGAAATTGGGAGAAAGTGCAGAATCGCCCGCTGCTTGCCACGTTTTTAAGAATTGCACATACTCGGTATCCATGTACACGACGACCTATTTTCACTTAAAAAATTACAAAATAGCATAAAAATGACATTATGCACACACTTGATTTATCCATGTACGTATCCATGTACACTGCTAAAGTCCTGGGTTTTCTTCCACAAAGGATCCGTTGGCGTCGGTTCGTATTTATCCGCCAAGCTCGCCAACGGCTAATCGGCTATGATTTTAGCGGTGTTTAGTTAAGAGTCAAGATATTTATCATAAGGAAGAATGATTTTAGCGGTGTACAGTCAAGTTATAAGATATTTAGCATACAGAAGTAAAATAAATAGGTTAATAATGACATTTAGCGGTGTATAATTAACCTGAGCGGACGCGCGTTATGTTATGTAACATGAGAACTAGCTTTGCAATTAAATGACATACAAATGAAACATATTCATTACTAAATAATACATTTAAAACATTAATTTTACACAAGCAATTATTTTTCAAAGTTGTTTTTTTTTTTTTTTTTTTTTTTTATTACTTCCTGATAGCTTAAAATATTTTTTGAAACAACTGCCTTTTTCAAAATAAATATGACTATGCCAAGAATCTTTAATAATATTCAAATCCTTTAAAGTAGCATTGTAAATAAAACTAGAAGAAACATTATACATCTTGTTACCTTTCAAGATTCATTCAAACTTTGATTAATTACTCAAAGCAGGGTTTACTAGCTTTGATGACCCTGGGAATACATAAAAGTATTTTGTAATTTTTAATTCATTCTAAAGCATCTATTGTATATAAACACCTAGCATCCTCTGAAAAGTAATTGTTAAAATGCATTAAAATTATCAAATTTTTAATCATGAAAACTGATTTAATTCTCATTATTTTAGGTAAAAATAATAGTAATAAAAATAAAAAAACTTAATTATTAAAAATGTATATTACTGCGGCCCACGGAGATTTTAGGAGCCCTATGGTTCTGCGTGTTTCTTAAAAATTACACAAACTATTCTAAACAGCCATGTTATCAATTATCATTCACCCCCGCCGGCTACCCAGTGGCAAAACGGAGCCCCGAACAGATGAAAAATATTCTTTGTCCAAGTCAACCGCTTGTAGAACCAGGTTGCTCAATTTGCCGGGTTGCCAGCTTTGAACTTTTATCACCATTTTTGGCAATGTTTACATTTAACGGATCCTTTGCGGAAGTGCTTCCAAAGTCCTAGCTAGTAATCTTTATCACCTTACCAAAATGTCGCCAAACTACCTGTTACCATATTCCAAAGATTAGCCCAGCACCAAAAACAATGAACTGTGTCTGCACAACTTCAAATTCTTGCAAGTTGGGATATTACCATATTATCAATGATGAAATATATCCATTTCAAATACTCAATCCACTGACAGCAGCATACATAGATTCAAACATAAAACTAGGGAAATTAGATTTACTAAACATGACATGTTGAAATACAAAGACTACATGGCTAAAATGCACAAAATATGATGAAAATAGGTATTTTTCATATGCTGTTTTTTACTTGCATGCACAATGAACAAGTCTTGGCACCTCTCCTTAAGAGATCAACGAAAGTTATCGGTTAAGTCATACAAGATAACCTTTTAACATTTCTTGGAGCGATATCATTCAATAATAAATGGGAAATCATTTAATATGTCATACAAACCTGCATATTAGTAAAGCAATTTTACAATCAATTCAATATAATATGATACAAAGGCAAGTTACGTTCTTGAACAATTTTGCCGATGTACGACTTTCATGTAAATACTTTTGATTTACAGGTACCGTGGGAGGATAACTTTGGGATCAAGTTCATTGTTTAAATCTTTCCAGTTTTTGCAACTTCATTTGATGGAAGTTTTGGGTACTTCTTAACAAACTCCCTCCCTTTTTTTTTCCCCCTAGAGGTAGGTAACACAATTCGAAGAAAATGAAGTACCAAAAATAAATGTTTCCTCACTTACTTTGGAAGACTTCTGGAGGCAATCAAAACAAAACGTATGTTCACAAACATCCGGGGATGCAACACATTTGTTGCGTAAGTCGTCGTAGCATATCGGACAAAAACCAATATGTTTCGACATTTCAGTTTCAGATCTGACATTTGTCAAAAATCGCTCTTTAAATTAATGGCCTTCCGAAAGAGAAATTCAATGAATTCGTTGTTGACAGGTTATCTTCACGAGAAAAAAGGGGGGAAAAATGGGAGGAGTTACGAGATTCTCTGGGTTGCATGAAGATCTACTAATAACTTTCTCGCCAAGTAATTTGGCGTCATCGGCTCATTCTTATTTCTCGAACTGTGCTTGAAGAGTAGTCTGTTTTTGATCCGTAAGTATGCTAAAATTCTACCATAAATTTTTAATACCTTGTTTTCCAAATTTACACATTTTGCTTGATTAATTTGAAGTTGTTTGTTTTTAGATGTGCGCAATGGCAAATTTCAGGTTATTCGTCAAATAACCAAGGTTTCTATTTCTCTGGTAAGTGTTTGCTTTATATCTTATATTTATTATTAAATATGAAAAGTAATTTTTGCATGCGTATATTTTTTCATGCTCATTTTCTGTTTTATGTGCTGGTAGATTTCTGGCCGATTACCGTGTTTTTAGATAAATGCGCCATTTTCATTTAGGTCGTGTAGAGATTACTGTTTCCATTTTTTTTTAAGTAACCACGAAAATTCTAACACATGTAAAAGCTTTACTAGTAAACTTTTGATTGAGGATATTTCAAGTAAATGTGCCATTTTTACTGAATTTGTGTAGAAGTTGCTCTTCGTTATGCCTTTTTTGAGCCAATATGTTAATTAGTTGTATTCTTTTAATGTGTTGTTTTGCAGATTAATGCAGTTTATTTGACAGATGTGTAATGCTGTTTGTTGAAAAATGCATTAGAACCAATGATGGTAAGATCTTGGCCTAGCAAATTGGTAAAATATTACCTGCTCTTAATTACTGAATCATATTGTAGGATAAAATCTGCTGTTTATGTATGAAAATTTGTACTTTATCTCTGATTATGTGGTATATGCCCAGAATTTCATTATTAATGATCGATTCATTAAAATTACTATTTTTAATTGTCTACTTTGTTTTGTGTTGCTGCTGCTCATTCTGCATTTTTTTTTTTTTTTTTTTTGAGTAGATATAAAAATTAATTCTTGTTTTTTATTTTTTTTCCCTCAATGTCTCTTTTTATTGTGCTGGTAAATTTTTGAGAAAGTTTTTAGTAAATGCACCGTTTTTACTTAGTTTGCGTAAAAATTGTTCTTCTTTATGCCTCTTTTGAATAAATATGTCAATTCTTGTTTGTATTATTTAATATCTTGTTTTGCATATTAACACAGTTTATTTGACAGATTGAGATGCGATTTGTTGAGAATATTCATTAAAACTAATGCGGGTAAGATCTTGGCCTAACAGATTGGTAAAAGATTTTCTGATCTTAATTACTGAATTTTTTATTATATTCTAGGATAAAAGTCTGCTTTTTTACGTATGAAAATTTTTATTTTATCTGATTATGGGCCAAATTTAATGATTCAAGAAAAATGCCATTTCTGTGTGTAGCTAGTTCGTCATGCAGTTCTTTTGAATATGTATCAGTTTGAAAATTTATTCTTACATGTGTATTTTTCTCATCCATTTTTGCTGTGCACTTTTCCTGTGAATATTATTTTTATTTAGTCTATATAGAATTCGCTCTTTCTACCTTTTTTGAATAAGTATGATAATTAGTTCTTGTTTGTGTTATTTTAATGCCCAACAATTCACTTTCGAATGTTTGTTAATTATAGAAGCTAATTTTACTTTTTGCTTGCAGTTTTTAACTCTGTACCTTTTATCCAGACATAAATAACATCTGCCTTTTCATTTCTAAACTTAAAATATCGCAGTCGGGAAAAGGTTTCAATTTGAAAGGTAGTGGCTTTTCTAATTGCAAGAATTTCTCTTCAGAATTATAATTAACATAAGCTGTGCATTCTCTGCTAAGTATTTCATTTCTCGAAAAGTCTAGTAGACCTTTTAAATCGCAATTTTAATCTTTAATTTTTTGGATATAATTAAGAACGAATTCATTTGGAAGCAATTTAAAAAATAAAGGCATTAAAATATTTCTGTATAAATCAGTATGGTACTTTTCTGTTTCGCCGGCGCAAATCTCGCCAAGCGCACTTTATTGGCGACAACACATAATACACATAAAAATTGTCAAAAAATGTTAGTTCTAAGATTTTTTTTATTTTAAAGGCATAAACATTTTAATATCGTTTAAAGTTTTGTAAAAAGACAATAAATTTTTTAAAAACATTAATTTAAGAATTTACTATGCTTTCATGGTACAACATCCTGATTCGCAGGTTCGTATCACGTGAACCCAAGTGATCTCATTTCACGTAATTCTTTGCTCAAACTACGCTACAAAAATCTAATTCTCTCAATGATTCAGTAATTATCTACAATAATTTCAAGTTACATTTTAATATGGAATACAAGTTTAAATGCAAGTATTATTTCAGTTCGTACGAAGCTTACTTAAGAATTATGTAAAACCCAGTACTTTACTTCGCTAGTGCATTCTCATTAGAATTGATGAATTTAACCCTTGATTTTATCTTTTCTATATTTTCGCCTTCGCTGAGCTGTGTGATTGCATCCTAATTGACTTAAATACCGCGAATGGCATTAGGGCATAAAATTGAACTTTCTGGTAAAAATTCTATGTAATTGTATGCCAGTATTGAAAGAAACAGTGGCGTAGCTAGGGTGGGGCAAGAGGGGACATCTGTCCCCGGGCGCAGCATCCAGGGGGCGCCAAATTAATGCTACGAAATTTTTTAATGAATGTTTTGCATTCTTGACACATAGAAAAGGGCGTAAATTCTTCAGTTGTCCCCGGGCGCTGGAATCCTAGCTACGCCACTGGAAAGAAACAATCAATCTGATAAAAAAAATGGCTGCGATATGTTTTGAAGATGAGCGTAAAAGGTTACCAGCGGAGATATTCCGTTTGGCATCTGTTGTACCATTTTTGGCGAAGCAATCTCTACTTTCTTTCTCCAAAAGTCTTGCTATTTTTCAGATTTCAAGTTTGACTTCTGTGCCTTGTTTTGCAGGTTAACATGCTTTATTTGATTGCATAGAAGTTAACTTTTCGTAAAAAAGCCTTAATTATAGTATCATTATTGGTAAATTCAAGGCTTAAACAGATTGGTGAAATGTTTGACCTTAACTACTGAATTCTGCTAATTATATGGGATATGTCCATAATTTAAATTTTCTTCTAGTAAATCGATCAATTGGAACAAAATGTGAAATGAATTTATTAAAGAGTATGTCATTTGCTGTATTCATAAATTTCCAGCCATGTGTATCATTTAATAATTATTTGTTTTTAGGATAAAAAAAGTAGTAGCAGATGGTCCTACCAATTTGAATAAATATGGAATTTAGTTTTTAATAGTTTTATTTATTTCATGTAATTTATGATATTAAAGTATAAAGGCTATGCTCGTGGATTTTCTAGTAAAGGCAAGTTTCCAATAAATAGCAGTTTTTATTTGAGTATGGTGGTTGAGCTATTTATCCAGCATTTTTTTAGTATGAAGACTAATCATACTAAAAAAATTTGAGCATTTCTTTCAAGTAAAAATCAGTGTGTTATAGCTGTGCCAGTATCATTCTGCATAATGACAAAAGTTCATTAAATATGTTAGTGACATTTAAGTGTTGGTTTTGATTATCATGCAATACTGAAACTAAATTCAGAATTTCATTATTGACAAAAAAAAAAATTTTTTTTTTAATAATTCTGGGTATGAATGTCTGAGCATGTGTGTAAATTTTAAGTCATTCTGGATTTTCTTTCATTTGATTAATTCGTTAAACTTGCTGTTATCTGTAAAAAAAAATTTTCCTATTGAACTTTACCTTTCGTTTTAGTGGCACAGGTGATAATAGATTTTTAACCCCCCAAAAACCCCAAAAAAATGAAATTTCCATTTCCAAGTGTGGCTATAGAGAGTATGCTCAAGTTCATAAAATAACTTAGTTTTTCTTTATCATCACCTTTCTGTTCGAGAAGCTTTTCTGCAGCAGCATACAGTGACCACCCCCCTTTTCTATTATAAGAATACACAGTCAAAAGTCTTTAATCTGGACGTCCATAATCCGAAATGATCTATAATCTGGACCTCAAAGCTACAAACTTTCTGCGCATGCGCATATGCGTTTACGCATGCGCGTTTAATGTATAACGGACGGTATAAGCTAAGCTAAAATTATCTAATTATCTATTTCAGTTAATGTTGCAGATTGCGTTGTTCCTTAATCTTCTAATATGGATCCGGCTTATTATTTTTTGTGGACTGTTAGAGCAATTTTATAAAAGTAAGCTTGAACTTTAGATTATGTCAAAAAGAATTTCTGATTCTGGAGCTGCCGAAAGGATCTACAAAGCGAAAGCATGTTTTGATGTCCATCAAACAAAAAGTGGAATTGCTGCAAAAAAATGTATAAAGGCATATCCTTTGTTTCTCTAACCATTCCGAAATCTGTTTATCAATTTTACATCTCTCTGCGGGGGGGGGGACATCACGGCGCACAATGAACTGGAAGTTGATCTGTCAGCACTATCCTTATATTCAGGGCAGATGTTTTTATTTTATTCGGCTTATAATTCCTTACTAAATGTAGTATTTCATCTCAATGTACTCCGTTTTTGATTATGATTTAATCAAATTTCTCGTCATTATATTACGGATACACATCAAATAGTTTTCTGATTGCAATTTTCTAATTTCGACTATGCGTAATGTATTCTTTACGCATGCGCTTTGAAAGAAATGTTTAATAAAGTAAACAAATAAATAATTTTTTATTGTATATTTTAATACCCTTTAGATCATAATTGCTCTTTATTTCATAAATTAAGTTTTCATATTTTTAATTTTATGTTTTCTTCATGCCATCTTACCAGATTTAAATTGATGATCTGTAATCCGGAATCGCCAAAGTCCCGACGAGTCCGGATTAAAGACTTTTGAGTGTAGTAATTTTAGAAATTTATCTGAATGTCTCCTGTGGACTTTCATTTAATAGATAACTAAAGCCAGTATGGAAATTAGGACATTTTGATATTGAAGAATAATTCATTGCTGCCTACTCTCCTTTTTTTAATTTTTAGTCTTAACAAAGGAAAATGTTTCTCAGAAATAAATGGAATGTATTTAATTAATTAAACTTAAATTAGGCAAATTCCATTCCCTCAATCTCTAATGATTTTCAGAATTTTTAAATTCTTTTTCATTTGGTTACATTTTCAGTTGTCTTAATCTGTAGTCATTTCTAAATTTTTATATGAAGATTTAAAAAATGGAATTAGCCAAAGAATATAAGAATTAAATGTTAATATATTTTACAACAGAATTGAATTTCAAATAGTTCAAAATCTAGTCCATGTAAATTTGAACTGAATTTTAATTTGATTTTTCTATTAATTCATTACATTTATTTAGGCGCCTAGAATGTGAACATGGTAAATAAAATGGCAAGTACCCATTCCTCAGTATATTTTGGTGGGGAAAAAACTTCTGAAATTTATGTTCAGTTTGTAGTAATATTATTCAGTTAACTTCATATTTGTTTAGGAATTTCACAGGGTGGGTGATCTTCTGTGCAAGATACTGAGAAAATTTTGATATTCTTTATGCTAAGAATAATTTCAAGAATTAATAAATTTCAGTTTTTTTTATATGATAGACTGATTATTCAAAGTAATATACACCAAGGTCACCTTGGATGATCAAGAGCTTGTATCATACATGCATATTAACTGTTATAGGATAGCTATGGACTTTGGTCCTTCAAATTGTTTTATTAATATATATACAGTATTCAAAGAACTACAAAAGGGTGGAATGTAGTAAATAAAACATTTTTGCTTCTGATAGAAGTGTACAACTGACTGAAAAATGTAACAGCCATCATTAAAATTCAACATCATTTGAGAGATCTTTCTTAAGTATAGTACATACTTTTAAAAAATGAAACTGTATATATGAATTTTTGAAATAATGTAACATATTAAAAGAAGATAAATTATGTATTGAAGTGAATTATGCATTCAGTATTCCAATAAATTTTCCATTTTATACATTCTTAAATCAATATAAG